TCCGACTAAGTCCAGGCCTTCTCTCATCTCTAAGTAGTCATCATATCTCTCATTGTCTTCAAAGAAGTTGGATCTCTGCTCTTCGAACTCATTGGCAGACTCTATGTTCGCGAACGCAAACCCTATTCATGTCAGACACAACTCCATTACAACACTATATCTATAATTAAACCCTTAATACAATCGCAAAGAATACGGGAATTCAAAGCAAAATCTCTTCTATTATTTTTAGACTTTAATTTCGTTTACTTAAGGGAAAAAAAGTTAGTTTTTTTCTCTCAAACCACACACACGAATGATAGCTCAAGAAAGTACTCCTATTTAATGTATCTTATATTTGACTGTCAAATATTAAGTGAGATTTGATTCATTAGTAGATAAAATGCCATTAAATAAAGACATTAATCATTATTTTTCGCCTCAAATAAATCATTGCATTGCAAGGAATCAAATGCTCGCAAAAACAGATATAAAAAATTAATGTAAACTGAATGATAAAATCTGACCTTTTGGTTAATATAACACAAATGTTTGTCAAAATTATATACAGTATGTTTTAAGAGTATACAGTATTTTACATTTCAATTGTAAATGAGATTAAAATCAATTTACATGAAAAATGTATGAAAAAGCTTTCGTTTTACGTTTGTTAGAGAATTATAAATGTTGATAAAAATACAGTGAATTGTATAATACATAACTCTATTCAATATAAGATATGCTCCCAAATAAAAGTCAATTCACTTAAGTAACAAAAATTATTGAACACTTAGAGAGCGAAACAAATCTTTTATAATGATTAAGCAATTAAGGGATATTGTGTTCACATAAGAGCAGTGCTTGTGTTTTATATGATAGGCTCTCCGGTCAGCGGTGCCATAGAATCGATGATTTATTTATATAATGGAAACACATATAAAGTACTGTTTTGTATAAAACAAAATATGAATGCAAACCTTTGCTAAATCTAATTTTGGTGACGGGATGTAACTCGAGATCCAATAGTTTCTTTGATATATCTTTGACACCACAGCCTCCGTATGAGAAACAAGAGCCGGTGACGTGACTATTGATCCGCTCGTAATAGATCTGTGCTGTGGTGTAGGCGTCGCCGTTCCGATACCGAGTCACCTGCAAAAGTGCATTCATTTTTATTAGCAATTATTGTGCTAAAAGCAAACTAATTAAAGAAGAAAACAACGCTTTCAACTTTTATTACAACTTTTTCGCTTAAATTTAGCAAATAAATTATTTTCATTTTAATTGTTTAATACATTTCATTCATTCGCTTACTTGTCGAGAGCGCCGGACGTAATGATAGCTGACTGTAAAAGCATAACAGAAAATGTAATGTTTTAATCATTATATACAGTGAATGAGGAGTTAATGAGTATTCTTGTGCTACAATTCTTATACAATTTTCAACAAACATAGACTATAGAAACTCATGTGTAAAGCTTTTTAAAAAGGTTTGCATACACTTTAGCTCTACTTTTCATTTAATATTTATGACGAGTTTTTTATTTCTAAAATATTAAGACTCGATATAGAAAACAAAATAATTTCATATTTTATTCAAATTCTGAAATTTAAACTTTAAATACAGGAACAAAAATAAATAAATTCAAGAATAATTCTCTAATGTATAGACAATTTTAAAGTGTATTTACTTTCATAGAGAGAGAGAGAGAGAGAGAGAGAGAGAGAGAGAGAGAGAGAGAGAGAGAGAGAGAGAGAGAGNATTATAGATATAGTGTTGTAATGGAGTTGTGTCTGACATGAATAGGGTTTGCGTTCGCGAACATAGAGTCTGCCAATGAGTTCGAAGAGGAGAGAGAGAGAGAGAGAGAGAGAAATGCTATGGCTTTGTGTATGCTATTGGTATCAGTTTTCAAATATTCAATAGTACTTAAAAATATAGTATTTCAATATAAGGGATGGTGTGATGAGACGGTGATGTATACCTGCTTTCCACCATATGATAGGCTGTGCGTCTTTCATCTGCTCGATGTGAGTGTAAACAGCGCTCGCATTCAGAGCGTAGACCTGGATATATAAGTTGGCAAATGATAACAATCTTATTTACTGTACTCTAAAAGCAAACATCATATCAAAAGTTTGAAATAAATATTATATCACACAATAAATAATTGAAAACTATTTTTGATTAGAAAAGCCAAAAATATCATTAATTTTCTAGAGTTCTGACATTTATTATCACATAATTAAATTGTTAGTAATTTTATTATCTATCGATGCGTTAATAAATTAGAGATAAATTTCATTTTTACATTAATTATAATCACATTAAGAAAAATTTTTATCTATTGATTTATTCTCAGATTTGTTTGCCTCTAATTCAATAATATTGTCACTAATAATATGTTGAAAACCTAAAAAGCGAGTTAAGTTCAACATACCAACATACCATGTACCATGTATATTTGTGGCAATTGTATTGTTCTGCAAATATGTTGGCTTTTATTGGGAATCAATCGATAAAATAAACCCAAATTTCTCAACGATGTATTCATTCGTAAAATTGATTCATGTATTCAATCGGCGAAAAGTGGTAATGAATAGCAAATAGGGGTTTGACTTACGAGTTCGAAACGGGTGTTGCAGTGCCAGCACTCGACCAAATACACTATGTATAGCATCGACATAAACACAATTGGGATGTAAACGTATCCCTCATCGCATGGACTCACTCTATGAAGTGTGTGAATGGGATAGCTCTGCAAAATACATGTCACAAAACATAGGAGAGAGAGAGAGAGAGAGAGAGAGCCGAATTATATGATTTGAATATAAAGTGGTAAAATTTTCAATATTTAATAATTTGAGAAATTGTTTGACACACTTGTAAGTTAACAACCATTCGGTCGATTTGTGCGACACTACACCACGTAATCACACAAAGACAACCACTGATGAGAACAGTCAATAAAAGGCACTTTAAATGAGAGTCTCGTCTCAGACTTTGGTATAGAGTTTGCTTTTGTGGCCGCTATTCAGTTGGAAATTAAAGAAAAGTAGAGAATTAGATAAATACTGAAAATAATAATAATAATACACTAATTGAGTAAACAATTGCCGTTAGCGCTCACTCTTATGTTTTTCTAGTGAAATACAATTTTTGTTTAATATAAATGAAATTCATTTGATTTTTTATGCAATGTTTATCTCACGACTTGGAAGAAGTAATTAAATGATAAACATTTAGTGAATCGAAAATAGGATTACAGTTACACACGAGTAAAGTAATTGTTGTTTCAGTTAAAAGTCTCAGAAAAATAATTAAATACAAAAGGAATTCAATCACGAAATATAAATAAGATTACAAATTATATAATTATATCGAGAAAATAAGAAAAACTAATTACTTAGAAGTGAATTTTGCATTTAAAGACATCATTAGACCATTTCCTTTATATTATTGCATTTTACCACTCATTCATACAAATACTACATTTAAATACTATATTATACTGCATATAGGGTTTCAATTATTTGTATTTCTTTTATGTTATTCCTCACAGAGAAGAGAAGAATTGAATTTTCAATAAAAACTTCATAAAATAACTTCTCAAGTGATCATTAAATACTAGACTAGAATTGAAATTCTTGTTCTCATATATTCCTGAATGTTTGTCGACGGCTTAAAGCGATATATAGTTATAAAAATATATATTTTTAAAAACTAAAGTGTTTTAATAGAAATGCAATTTAATATTGAGGGTAAGAATCATAGGCTAAGAAAAAACAGAAACAAAATTTCTCTATTTGTTTCACTATTTTGCACCTAAAAGTTAAGTATTATATTGATATTGATTTTTGATGTTTTATAACACATACACACATAAACTGAGCCAACATTTCCAAACACCAAAAGTGCTTTTTCCAGCTCTCAGTAAAAATGTGTGTCTAATGATAACCCACTCTCTCAAAGAAAAGTATACATTAATTCTCCTTTGATTTGCTAAAAAACAAATTATTCAACCGTTTGCTATCGATTTCATCGTAATATCGTTGAATACAATTAAGATTTGTTGTATGGATTGCCTCGAAGACGGCTAAAGTGACACTTGTATTACAATATATACAGTACTTTATTCTTTCTGTGAATACTTTATATTAATATATAATGGGCTCATATTATACGGATCTTTAGCCCAGTTATTGCTTTATTAATGTTATATTTAAAAACCCACTCGTTTTGTGATTAATAATAAAAGGAATCGAGAGATTAGAGATTCACTAAAATTGTTTATTTTGTATTAAAATATGAGTTTATTATTACATTAAACAGAGAATATGAGGGAAAGTGGGGAACGAAATGATAGGCTTTTTAATTTAATATCTGTCAAAATGCTCTTACAATTAAAATGAGCCGAAAGTGAGCGAAATTACATTTTCAAATTTCAGGCAACAAGAAAAACATATAATAAATATGAATTTTCGATATATTATACAGTGTTCTGAATATAAACATAACATATTTCGGTCATTCATTAATATAGAGAGAGATTTTATATTTAGATGTCTTTTATATATTTTTGCATAAAACTGACAAAACCTGCAAATATTGTCTCAAATAATTTGCCTAAAAATGATGTGTTGGGTATAAAAAGTGCATAACATATGGAATATAAAGAGCCCTCATATAGAGAAAGACAATTCAATGCATTTCAACCTTTTTTTACACAAAACCAAAAGTAGCGCACATTATATGAAGTTTACGTCTTATAAGTCTTATATATATTGTTATACCATTTGTAGAGAAAAGACACACATATGTTGTGCAGCAATAAAATCGCAAAACTATTGCATTTCTACGGATATATTCCTGAGAGAGTATTGGGAGAGAGATAAGGAGCAAAACCTTAACATCGGCTCTACTTTTTATCAAAGAATTATAATGTGTTCGTCGGGAGAGAGAACTCCACTTTCATATAAAGGAAAAAAATATGTGAATAAACTGGAAATGACAACAAAATTCACGACATTATTGATCAATAAATTTCCACTATTTTTTTGGCCATCATTTGGGATCACAATTGCCAGACATAATGCATACTATTTATAGGAAATGGAAAACTTAAAAAAAAGATATAAAATCAATAGACTTGTAATATTTTCTTCTTCTTTCCATCTAATTATACTGTAAAACACAAGCGATGTGTCGATCGATACCTTTATTTGAAATCAAAGAATAAAAAGTGTTTTCAAATTAAATGTTTGTACAACTCGTTTGCGTGATCTCTGGCTCTTCTCTATACTCTATCTGTTAAGAGAAATGTTTTATTTGTATTTTTATACTAAAACTTTAATTGTCTGCACTTATAGTAAAGACAAATGTTATTCTCGCTTCAAATTTATATGTTTAAAGAATTCACACATTTTTGGGAAAACAAATAAACCAAAGATAAGTTTTATTAAAACCCATTTTTTAAAACATTTCTATGGCTTTTGGCTAAAAGCAAGTGAAGTATTTAATGCCTGACTTATAACACAGTATCGAGTATTAGGTTTTCGAGATTAACGCCAAAAAACAGCAAATTGTGTTTTGAGTTGAATTTACGGCTGAAATGATTAAATAAAGCGCTGAATGAGTCCTGATGTCTACCATTTCATATATCGCTCACTAATCCAAATGTTGGCTCAATAAAAATCAAAGTCCCGTTTTTGTGCTCAATTGTGAGCCAACTTTTGAAGTATAAAATGTAAAGATTGATTGTTTAGAGAATAAA